AGATTGGGTCAGAGACAGGTTGAAAATGTCAGTGAAGACACTTGCCAGTTGGTCAGCACATGCTCGGAGTACACGTCCTGGTAATCCATCTGGCCCTGCGGCCTTGTGAATGTTGACCTGCTTAAAAGTCTTACTCACGTCGGCTACGGAGAGCGTGATCACACAATCATCCGGAACAGCTGGTGCCCTCATGCATGCTTCAGTGTTGCTTGCCTCGAAGCGAGCATAGAAGTGATTTAGCTCGTCTGGTAGGCTTGTGTCACTGGGCAGCTCGCGGCTGTGCTTCCTTTTGTAGCCTTAGGCTGGTCACTATATCACCCAGCACTGGGCACGAACTGATGAGGCTCGGAGCATAAACGCGCTGCTTAGACCACTGTGCTATGGCAGTTCACAATGCTTTAGCAAGCACTAAGAATACTATGTATCCTGATGATACACAGGCGCGTCGTTTTTAATTATTTAGTTTTAATCCTTCCCCAAACCATAGCCCCAACCTTAACCACTCGGAATTAATACGTAAACTGTTAACCTTTGAGTTGTTTATATTTTAACCCTGTAACCACGCGGAATTAATGTGTCAAAAACAAACGTTCATCCATGAGTCAAAGGGCAGTGGGCCAGATTCTATCCATGCAGACTCTGGCATATGTGTGCCGGGGTCAGTGGCTGTAACCGCTGGACCACACAGACACTGAGGAAGCCAATCATTTATTCTGCCTATTGCTTGCCTGCAACATATAATCAAACAATTGATTTTAAAAAAAACTGATTTTCCCTAACGAATACTGCATTAACCCCTACAAAAATGTCAATTTATTATAATCCACATAATAATTTACACGAGACGCGTTGTAGCCAGCACGTAGCTGTCATGACTTGCCCTCATGGGTTGAGGATCAAACATTCCTGCTAGGCAAAGGTTTGAACACCCCCTTTCCTGGGGGCCAGTTTTATGACTTAACAGCCGGTAATAAATCGTTTGCAGAAAAGGACTCCTTTTGGTCTCTAGTATGGGAAGAAATAATTTCCCTGTGAGACAAAGGAAGTCTTTCCGCCAAGACTCCAACATCCAAAAGTGGATAATGAAACAATATTCCTACTTAAAAGAATGTCGGAAATGGTCAGTGGGGATCTAAAGAATAATCATGTCATATTGTTTATTATTTTGTGATGTCATTAAGGTTGGTATCAAGTAATAACTAACTCGGAAAGTGTATATATTCTATCTATCAAGTTTACATCTAAATGTTGTATAAAATATATGATTAAGTATGAGAGTATTTTGGTGAAGATAGGAATGTGATTTTAGTCTTCTAATGAGAATCGTTTTTCATATAAACTATGCACAGTGACTAGCCACGCCCTGAGTGACATCAGAGATCGTGTAAACATGATGGAAAAACAAATCAACCTTGGGACCAGCAGACGAGAAGCGTGAGCTAAACGTTGCAAAATGGTTTAAAACTACAACTCCATTACCAAAGGAGGACCAGCAGATGTGAAGCGTGAGCTAAACGTTGCAAAATGGTTTAAAACTACAACTCAATTACCAAAGGAAGACCAGCAGACGTGAAGCGTGAGCCAAGCGTTGCAAATGGTTGAATTTTTACCAGACCAGTAAGCCCCATGGCTTAAAATGGTTGACACTCTACAAGACTAAGAAGCATGAAGCTGAAGCTACAAGTTACAAAATGGTTAGACTAGAAAGACCAGAAAACGTGAGACGTTAGTCCACACGTTTGAAATGGAGAAACTCTGAAACTCTCAACCTCTCCTCTCAATTGGATTCAGGTCTGGGAAACGGGCGGGCCAGTCCATAGCATCAATGCCTTCCTCTTGCAGGAACTGCTGACACACTCCAGCCACATGAGGTCTAGCATTATCTTGCATTAGGAGGAACCCAGGGCCAACCGCACCAGCATATGGTCTCACAAGGGGTCTGAGGATCTCATCTCGGTACCTAATGGCAGTCAGACTACCTCTGGCGAGCACATGGAGGGCTGTGCGGCCCCCCAAAGAAATGCCACCCCACACCATGACTGACCCACCGCCAAACCGGTCATGCTGGAGGATGTTGCAGGCAGCAGAACGTTCTCCACGGCGTCTCCAGACTCTGTCACGTCTGTCACATGTGCTCAGTGTGAACCTGCTTTCATCTGTGAAGAGCACAGGGCGCCAGTGGCGAATTTGCCAATCTTGGTGTTCTCTGGCAAATGCCAAACGTCCTGCACGGTGTTGGGCTGTAAGCACAACCCCCACCTGTGGACATCGGGCCCTCATACCACCCTCATGGAGTCTGTTTCTGACCGTTTGAGCAGACACATGCACATTTGTGGCCTGCTGGAGGTCATTTTGCAGGGCTCTGGCAGTGCTCCTCCTGCTCCTCCTTGCACAAAGCCGGAGGTAGCGGTCCTGCTGCTGGGTTGTTGCCCTCCTACGGCCTCCTCCACGTCTCCTGATGTACTGGCCTGTCTCCTGGTAGCGCCTCCATGCTCTGGACACTACGCTGACAGACACAGCAAACCTTCTTGCCACAGCTCGCATTGATGTGCCATCCTGGATGAGCTGCACTACCTGAGCCACTTGTGTGGGTTGTAGACTCCGTCTCATGCTACCACTAGAGTGAAAGCACCGCCAGCATTCAAAAGTGACCAAAACATCAGCCAGGAAGCATAGGAACTGAGAAGTGGTCTGTGGTCACCACCTGCAAAACCAGTCCTTTATTGGGGGTGTCTTGCTAATTGCCTATAATTTCCACCTGTTGTCTATTCCATTTGCACAACAGCATGTGAAATGTATTGTCAATCAGTGTTGCTTCCTAAGTGGACAGTTTGATTTCACAGAAGTGTGATTGATTTGGAGTTACATTGTGTTGTTTAAGTGTTCCCTTTATTTTTTTGAGCAGTGTGTATATATATATTTATTTATGTATTGTAGTGAGTGTAGTGTTAGATGGTAGGGTATTGTTTTTTTTAAGCAAAGTATAAGGGAGTTATACTCCAGTCTAGTAGGTGGCGGTAATACAAAATTTTATTGGATGCCAACCGCCGTTAAACCTCATCGAAGAAGACTGTTGGTCCTAGTTTGTCTGTAACATCAAAGAAAAGGTGGTAATACTTTCTGTATTAATAGTAGTTTTTTGCTCATGTTTGGGGTTCCCTGTGTTGCCAACCTGAAATGTGGGATAATGTAAGATACTGTATGGTAGCCTAATCTTTGGCATTTGGTAATCATTTATTGATAGTCAAGGGGTGTTGCGCTTGTTTCGGCCCGCAGAAGGAGCCTCTAGCTCTAGTGGTTGGTTCACGCACTCTCACTCGCACCAACCTGCCTAGTCAGTGAGTTAGTTGAATGAGAGCCAACTGAAGAGAGAAGCACCTACGTTATCATCACGGTGAGCGAGTTATAAAGCATAGGATATGAAACACCAATTTAAGCGGAATGTAATGATATAATAATTATTTTAAAATGTTTTTATAGTTTAATTTATGAAAGTCAGTTAGCATAGAAGCTAACGCCGGCTAAAGTTAGCTCCAGTCGAGCTAGCCTGTCGTCATTGCGACAGGACCAACAAACATTCACACAGAGCGTAAACAAAGGGAAACATTGTAACTTGCTGTTTTTAGGGATATGTTGAGAATTACATGATGAATTCCATGGTATTTCCGTGCCATGGTAGTGACCAAAAAACCATGATAGTACCATGGTAGTTTTTTCATTCTACTACCATGGTACATTTTTGTAAGGGGAAGCTCTCGAAGTTGAACACGCGTGCACGCACGCGCACACACACACACACACACACGACTCAAGTTCACAGATTTTCAATAAACATAATTCTCACCATTTTTATTAGGAGTTGATCGATTTAAACAGTCATATTATCCAAACTAACCATGGGTTGTAAGAGTAGTACTGTACAGTGGATTTGTGTTCCTGATGTCCTTCATTTAGTCATATCTGTGGTATTCTTGCAGTAAATGTTTACGATGGATACAAAATGTACTAAACACAGACACACCAGTTATCATTATGCAGGACAGGGTTTTTCATGACCATGTGAGCTGACCAGAAAAAACTCCAGGCCCTAGTTGTAGAGTGTTACCAGGGGTACAATCATTAGTCCAAAGAGTTTTGCAACTAAAACAAGAGTTTCTATTGGACAAATTCAGCTAGGTCCCTACCCGTTCCGTTTGCCTCCGTTTATGAAATGTTGCGCAACAGAATCGGTGTAATGAATACACTGCTGGTGTTACCTGCTCAGATGTCATGGTCAAGGAAAACTCCTAACCTTTAAAGCTTTCAGCAGGACAGACCTTTATCAAAAGTGGCAATGCAGAGAGTGGTTGGTAACTCCTAGTCAAGATACGACAGGGTTCTCCAACTCCCGTCCTGGAGAGCTACTGGAGTGTGCAGGCTTTTGATCCAGACCAGCACTAACACACCTTCAATCTGCATTAGTACTGGGCTGGAACAAAAGCCTAGCTACACCCAGTAGCTCTCCAGGACCGGAGTTAAGGAATCCTGAGATACAGAGTATTGTACTGTTTGAGCTTTGGAAAACAGTAAGGCAGTGACATTCCATTGCAATATATTACGGAATTCATCGGATGGTTCTACTATGTTTCTTTGTCATACAGATTCAATAAAATGTACAACCTAAAATGAAAATAGGAAAAAGAAAAGCAATGCTCATGGACATATATCAAAAACATTAAGACAGAGGAAGCCAAACTATGGTATCATGTGTGTAAAAAGTCTAAAATCAGTTTAGCGGCAGGCAGCATCCATCTACAATGACAGTAAGTTGGCAACAAAGCAGTAGATCCTTAAGTGTTGAGTAGTTGAAGATGCAAAAAAATCTAAGGAGCAGAGGGGGTTTGTTGCTCGGGGTTGGTTGCTCGATGGTGTGGGGCAGTGTTACCCCGTCAAAGGGGAGGTAGTGAGTGACCTTTTAGGCCCCATTTGACCTTTCACCCCTGACCCCAGAGAGGGGTCACTCACTCAAGCTTGAGGAGCTCAACGTCAAAGATGAGGGTGGCGTTAGGGGGGATGACCCCGGGGTGACCTGTGACTCCATAGGCCATGTCAGGCGTACAGGTGATCTTCGCCCGCTGGCCCACACTCATCTGGGGCAGAGAGGGGAGGAGGAGACAGAGGGGAGGAGGAGAGAGGGCGGGAGGGAGACAACAGAGAAATTGTCAACGCTTCCTTATCATGTGTTGCAATATTATCATAAAATATTATGAGTGCAGATGGAGTCGCATTATCTAACGTAAGACAATGCAGTCTCACCTGTGCGATTCCTTCCTCCCAGCCCTTGATGACTTCCTGTCGCCCGATCTTGAACTTGAAGGGCTTGTTTCTGTCTCGAGAAGAGTCAAACTTCTTCCCATTTTGCAGCATACCTGGTAGAGAGATATCACACAAACACTGTTAAGTCAATGGTCTTCCTAGGTTCAGGTAGGTTCCTAGGTTAATTTGAATGTTTTTTTTATTTTCATGTGTTCTGCTTTGAGTACTACTGAGTATACATGAGTGTGCTTGTAGGTATTTAGGTATTTATTAGGATCCCCATTAGCCGCTGCAAAAGCATCAGCTACTCTTTCTGGGGTCCACATGAAACATGACATAATACATACAGTACCAGTCAAAAGTTTGGACACACCTACTCATTCAAGGGTTTTTCTTAATTTTTACTATTTTCTACATTGTAGAATAATAGTAAAGACATAAACTATGAAATAACACACATGGAATCATGTGTGGTCCTCTGTAGCTCAGCTGGTAGAGCACGGCGCTTGTAACGCCAAGGTAGTGGGTTCGATCCCCGGGACCACCCATACACAAAAAAAATGTATGCACGCATGACTGTAAGTCGCTTTGGATAAAAGCGTCTGCTAAATGGCATATTATATATATTATTATGTAGTAACCAAAAAAGTGTTAAACAAATCAAAATATATTTTATATTTGAGATTCTTCAAATAGCCACCCTTTGCCTTAATGACAGCTTTGCACACTCGTGGCATTCTCTCAACCAGCTTCACCTGGAATGCTTTTCCAACAGTCTTGAAGGAGTTCCCACATATGCTGAGCACTTGTTGGCTGCTTTTCCTTCACTCTGCCTTCCGACTCATCCCAAACCATCTCAATTGGGTTGAGGTCGGGGGATTGTGGAGTTCAGGTCATCTGATGCAGAACTCCATCACACTCCTTCTTGGCAAAATAGCCCTTACACAGCCTGGAGGTGTGTTGGGTCATTGTCCTGTTGAAAAACAAATGATAGTCCCACTAAGCCCAAACCAGGTGGGATGGCGTATCGCTGCAGAATACTGTGGTAGCCATGCTGGTTAAGTGTGCCTTGAATTCTAAATAAATCACAGACAGTGTCACCAGCAAAGCACCCCCATACCATAACACCACCTCTTCCATGCTTTACGGTGGGAAATACACATGCGGAGATCATCCGTTCACCCACACCGTGTCTCACAAAGCCACGGCGGTTGGAACCAAAAATCTCACATTTGGACTCCAGACCAAAGGACAGATTTCCACCGGTCTAATGTCCATTGCTCGTGTTTCTTGGCCCAAGCAGGTCTCTTCTTAGTATTGGTGTCCTTTAGTAGTGGTTTCTTTGCAGCAATTCGACCATGATTCACACAGTCCCCTCTGAACAGTTGATGTGTCTGTGACTTGAACTCTGAAGCATTCCTGTGGCGGTCCTCATGAGAGCCAGTTTCATCATAGCGCTTGATGGTTTTTGTGACTGCACTTGAAGAAACTTCTTGAAATGTTCCGTATTGACTGACCTTCATGTCTTAAAGTAATGATGGATGCTTATTTGAGCTGTTCTTGCCATAATATGGACTTGGTCTTTTACCAAATAGGGCTATCTTGATGTCTTCACTATTATTCTACAATGTAAAAATAAAGAAAAACCCTGGAATGAGTAGGTGTGTCCAAACTTTTGACTGGTACTGTACATGGCAACACCTCCTCCATTTGCATTTCTATCTTTCCTATATATTCTATAACCATGTATAGCTACTACTGCATAATCAAATGAATTATCTAAGTGTGTTTCAGAGATGGCCAGAATATGAATGTTTTCTGATGTTAATAAGTTGTCCATTTCATTAACCTTCTTTCTCTGGCTACATATGTTAATATGGCCAATTTGTTTTTGTCATTTTCTGGGTTGCTTGTTTGTTTTTAGTGCTAAACTGAGAGGCTTATCTGAGGTAGACATGTCAGTGACATTTACATTTGAGTCAATGGTACTGAGTGGGCTGCCCACAGTGGGCTTCTTCCTAAGGCATACAGTTTCAGTGCAAACAGTGGAATAAAATTATATGTGCATATGATTATTGCAGTCAATACCCTCGGCGCTAACAGTTAAAGGAACATAGATTAGGTTACTTTCATTTACTGCACTTCTATTTCTCTGGGATATAATACGATTTCCATGTCCTCTGTTGCTTATTTATTATGACAGGGAGGACTGGAACACTACCAGTCCGTCAGTCTCTTAAGCAGTTCGCTATGTTGATGGAGATAATCCTGTAGTGTCTCAATTCAGTGTCTCAAAATACCCAATCATTTGAACACAAAGTAAGGCCTACACAAGCATATTTTCCTCACAAAGATCAGTTATATTCAAGTCATTCAAACAATTCCCCTCAAAACAGCACTGTTTTACACGAGGTCTGGCAATCCTTCACCTCCACTGCAAGGAACTGTCTGGAATGCCTAGGAATCATTGCATTCCAAATTCCAACATCAAAGGCAGATTCTGATAATATAGGGCTGGCACAAAAACAAAAGTAATTCCACTGGGTTTCATTTGCAGATCCTGGACTCGTTTCAATTTTCTAAATGAACAAAGGGAATGTGAAATAGGAGGCAGTGGCCTGATTCTTTCTGTAGATTCTTTCTGGTGGCTAACTAGGCCATGTCTAGCCTGCATCTAGAACACAGGGGAAACACAGACAGACACAGGACAGGGAGAGCGAAACAGTAGTGGCACGACAATGAATGTGCCCATGAACATCTGTCCGTTCAGGCATGCTAACAACATTAAGCCCATTGAACACTTCCACCAGAGGCACTGAGACAGAGACACCGCAGAAAATACTTAATAATTTACCTTTCACAGGCTTGGGACAAAATCCTAATAATAATCCAGGGCAGAATCTTTTCAATGTATACAGTGCCTTGCAAAAGTATTCATCCCCCTTGGCGTTTTTCCTATTTTGTTGCATTACAACCTGTAATTTAAATGAATTTTTATTTGGATTTCATGTAATGGACATAAACAAAATAGTCAAAATTGGTGAAGTGAAATGAAAAAAATAACTAACTGCGTGCATATGTATTCACCCCCTTTGCTATGAAGCCCCTAAATAAGATCTGGTGCAACCAATTACCTTTTAGAAGTCACATAATTAGTTAAAGACTGCACACAGGTGGACTTTATGTAAGTGTCACATGATCTCAGTATGTAGACGCCTGGTCTGAAAGTCCCCAGTCTCAGGCGGTAAATACAGAAAAATTCCTGAGGGAAACCTGTTTCAGTCTTCCAGAGATTTGAGACTGGGACGGAGGTTCACCTTCCAGCAGGACAATGACCCTAAGCATACTGCTAAAGCAACACTCGAGTGGTTTAAGGGGAAACATTTAAATGTCTTGGAATGGCCTAGACAAAGCCCAGACCTCAATCCAATTTAGAATCTGTGGTATGACTTAAAGATTGCTGTACACCAGCGGAACCAATCCAACTTGAAGGAGCTGGAGTAGTTTTGCCTTGAAGAATGGGCAACAATCCCAGTGGCTAGATGTGCCAAGCTTATAGAGACATACCCCAAGAGACTTGCAGCTGTAATTGCTGCAAAAGGTGGCTCTACAAAGTATTGACTTTGGGGGGGTGAATAGTTATTCACGCTCAAGTTTTCTGTTTTTTTTCTTCTTATTTCTTGTTTGTGTCACAATAGAAAATGTGCATCTTCAAAGTGGTAGGCATGTTGTGTAAATCAAATGATACAAACCCCAAAAAAATCAATTTTAATTACAGGTCGTAAGGCAACAAAATAGGAAAATAAATTCACCCACGGTCAGTGGTGTGAAGTAACTAAGTAAAAATATATTTGAAGTACTACTTAAGTATCTGGGCCCGGTTGCATAAAACACCTTAAGTTAATTTTCCCCTTATCTTTTCCCTTAAAGTTTCCTTAACTTTAAGTCAGTTGCACAAAACATTTAAAGGTGAATTTCCCCCTTAAATTAAGTGAAAAGGTTAAGGGTGCCCATGAGGTCCCTTAACTGCTTAATTCAGTATGGATATCAATGTAAACATCATTTGTGGAGGTGAATGTTGCTTTCATTTACTTTGGTTACAAAAGGAAACATCAACCAGCTAGCTAGCTACTTAGCTAACCAATGGAAGGTGCACAATCTATGGCTACAAAGCTAGCTGGCTAGTTAGCTATAGCTACTCTGTAATCTAGCTAAAGTAACCACAAGAAATGTGGTTTAGTATCTTCTGAAGCAATTTGGTTAAAACTATCCTCTGCAGCGCCCTTAAACAACTGCCTTAGGTAAGGGAAAATTATTCCTTAAGGTAAACCCTTAAGGGAAACACTTAAGATGTTTTATGCAACCAGACCCTGTACTTTACCATTTATATTTCTGACTACTTTTACTCCACTACATTCCTAAAGATAAGATGTACTTTTTACTCCCATACAATTTCTCTGTCACCCAAATGTATTAGTTACATTTCCAATGCTTAGCAGGACAGGAAAATTGTCCAATTCACGTACTTATCAAGATAACACATGGTCATCCCTCCTTCCTCTGATCTGGCGGACTCCCTAAACCCCTCGCTATCCATTAAAACATAAACACGTGCCATCTGGTTGCTTAATGGTTTGCTTAATATAAATACTTTTTAAGGATTTATAGCTTTTACTTTTGCTACTTATTTATATTTAAAACCAGACACTTTTAGACTTATACCAGTGTTTCCTCTGCGTTCATATAAGTGTGGCGCTGCGCCATGGAAGAATCATTGCAACCACACCAAAAGAAACATCCTATTTCTACCAAACATAGTTTCAATAAAGTTCTGTAAAGTACATTAGCTTTTCTTGGTAAATAGATCATCTGTCTGGGTTCAACACAGTTCAAGGTTATTTAGCTCTGTGAGTTGTGGCAGGCAGCCTGCAACTCAAGAAACACAGTGCGCCAATGACCAGTGCACAAGTGACCAGTGCTCGATAGACTCTCTGCGGCACAAAACACAATTCACTTGAATCACCTCAGAGTGAACCTGCGTGAGAAACGGCACGCCAGGGACCAGTGCGCGAGTGACCAGTGCGCAATACAGAAGCTCTGCAGCGCGAAACACAATTCACTTGAATAACCTCAGAGTGCACCTGTGTGAGAAACTGCAAGAAAGGTACGTTAGCTTGTTTGTTTGACTAACATTAGCTAGCCAACTAGTTAACTACATAAGCTAGCTATAACCTAAAAACTACTAACATAATTTATATCTATTATATTGCTGCCACAATTGTAACGGCAATTAGCTATCCAATATCCACAAGTATGTTGATGATGGAAACATGGTTAACTAAAGTTACTGAGGTAGGGATGCATGAGGGACAGAATGGAGCAGAGGAGAGGAGAGAGCCAGGAGGGGAGATGGAAGGAGAAAAGGAGAGAAGGAGAAGAAAGAGGAGTAGATAAAAGGAGAGGAGGAGGAGAGAGGAGTAAGACCAAGTGCGCACCACCGGCAATCCGGATGGGACCTAAAGTGGCTTAAAATTGACAGACTGAAACCGTGGCTATATAATACGCCACATGTTTAGTCAAATTTCCTTAATTAGAACATTTTGTGTATATTTAGTCTGTACTAGTCTACAGCATTGTGTAGTGTTGTAATGCTTGCTATCTGTAATAGGTATTTCCCCAGCCACCAGTAATTCCACTAAACAACACTCTACATCCCGTCTAGGAATGTTCTGCCGCCTGTGCCGTCAACATAGGCAGGCTGCTAAGAGGGGTGTGTCAAAGCGGCCTTTTATTGAAATAGGGGGCCAGACTCATCGGCTGGACTATATTAACCGGCACCCAGGGACAGAGCAACACATGGTGAAATAAGTGCTCCACAATGTTTTTGTTCATATTTTCTTCACTTGATATTTAAATGTCACCAGACTTATTTCACATTGTTCTCATTTACTTGAAGATTGGCAAGAACACAAACTACAGGTCACACATAATAGTGGACCAAATGTTTAAGATTCTGGCTCAAGTTGTGGAGGGGCCTATCCTCCATGCCAGGGGTTCCCAAACTCTTTCACCCGGGGCCCCCCTTCCAGCATTGGGGAACATCCAATGCCCCCCCAACGCACATGCACGCACCATGTATATTTCTATGGGCACAAGCACTGTTCATGACACAAACTGTTCACACTCCTCTTGTTGGTGGAGAGAATTTTGTAGGTTGAAAGTTTGTTTCCTGCAATTCTACACATTTTGTCATGGGTTGCAAAGAGAATGTTGCAGTTTTAAAGCAAATGTTCTTGCAATTCTTTACATTTTGTCATGTCTAATGTGTATTCATGTGATATTTGAGTGGCAAAATAAATTACAACAATATCTATGGGCAAAAAAAACATAAATAAAAAAACTTTAGCTGACATGGGCTAGTTAATCTGGACATTTCTGACAAGTTAGAAATAGCTCTCTAAGGTATTCAATGACTAATATGACAAGACGAACTGATGATGCACTACCCAATTTCGAAATTGCACCTTGTGCATTCTACTATTACAACTTTCAAGAGTGGGGCGCTCTTCACAGTTTGGGAACCACTGCTCCATGCCATCCAGACATCTGTAGCCAGGCCTGGAGGCTGATACAGTTTGGGAACCACTGCTCCATGCCATCCAGACATCTGTAGCCAGGCCTGGAGGCTGATACAGTTTGGGAACCACTGCTCCATGCCATCCAGACATCTGTAGCCAGGCCTGGAGGCTGATACAGTTTGGGAACCACTGCTCCATGCCATCCAGACATCTGTAGCCAGGCCTGGAGGCTGATACAGTTTGGGAACCACTGCTCCATGCTATCCAGACATCTGTAGCCAGGCCTGGAGGCTGATACAGTTTGGGAACCACTGCTCCATGCCATCCAGACATCTGTAGCCAGGCCTGGAGGCTGATAAAACTACAGATGTGGCAACTAATAAGCAGCTGGATTTACATGTCAGGAATTATTTCAGTAAGAGTTAAAATTATTATTAATAGTGATATTCTACAGTCATGAGTAATAATGAAATTGTGTATGGATTTTTGTATGTTTTCCAGATACATGGACCAAGAGGGACACCTTTTACAACCAGTTCCTGGACCTAGTGTCAGTCCTAGATGGCAAGGGACATCATCGTTGCCGCCATCAAGGAGGTGCTGCACATCAAAAAAGAGATAATAAGAGAGATTGTACGGCCTGGGCACTGATGGGGCTGTAGTGATGACTCGTATAGACACAAAACAGTCTTAGAATGAACAAAAACAATTTATTTTTTATTTTTTACAGTATGTCTTGTGATGCACATTTTTTTCCTCATCTTCCAACAGGACAACATAGTGGTGTGGCAAAAGAGCTAAAGGATGCCTTCCTATGGATGGTGTCTGTGGCATGTGCAGCCCACCACCTTGCTCTGACCTGTAAAGATGCATCAGCTGAGGTCCCCTATATGGACACTTTCAAGGAGCTCCATAGTTACTTTGCCAAAAGCAGTAACAAGACAGAAGTCTTGAAAGCTGCTTCAGCGACCCTGGGCCTTCTGTACTTAAAAGTGAAGGTGAGATTATGCATCACATTTCTTCACTTGGCTACTCTGGTCTCATCTTGTTTACCTACTGCTTCTACACTCAAAATACATGTATTTTGCAGGAAGTAAAGGATGTTCGCTAGCTGTCCCAGCACCTGGCCGTGGCTAATCTTCAGCGAAACCTGAGCGCAGTGTTGACTGAGGAGGTGGAGGTGAACCGGTGCCCAACTGCTAAGGGCCTCTACGCTTTCTGTGCCACGTACAGGTAGGCCTACAAATTAACTCCAAATTAAATAATGTACTATGTTGCTATTACTGCTTTCAGTGTCTCAAAACTATTTCAGTGGTCCACATTGTGGTTTTTAAAACCTGTTTTGTATTGTCAATTGATGTATCATTGTGGAGTGACAAACCTTTCTAACTCTAATTTGTGGCAGCACTTTACCTGCAGGCAGACGTGCTGCCTCACCTGACGCGGCTTCAAAAGTATTCCAAAATGAGGATGTAAACTTCCTGGCAATCTATCTTCATGTTCAAATGTGTGCAAATGTCTCAGTTTAACAGAGTCACAGGACAGCACTACTCAATGAAATATTTAAGAACTACTGACACTAACTAACTTCAAGCAAAACAACTCTAGTGTTGTAGGTCCCTGTGACAATGGCCTCACTCCTCGCCATAAAATATTCTGGTGATTCCCAGCCCTCGGGGTCATTTCTGAGCCAACTCCACCAGGACCTCAATGACCCAATGGGTCTGGGCGCATTCAACATCAAGGAGAGGGAGAGGCCAGGTGGAGAAGACCAAGACCAGGGAGCAGTTCTGGGCTCAGTTCAGAGGAGGTAAAAACATTTGTTTTTAAATGCTGTTGGATAAACTAAAATAAACAGCTATTAATCACTTATTTTCTGTTTTGTGCTGTAATTAGGTCATGGATCCATATCTTGTTGGCCTCCAAGACAGCCTAGACCGGAGGTTCCAATACCTGGAGATTCTGGGGGCCTTCAGTGTGTTGGGACCTCAGGCTGCGTTCTCTAGTGAGAGGATGAACACCTTTAACCTGACCATCCTCTCCAGGCAGTTCTTGCAAGCGCCAGAGGCTGCTGTGCCGCAAGAGTGACCCTCTTACAAGCAACATGTGCTAGTTGGAGTATTCAAGGTATGGCATGAATGTGACAATCTTTTGAAGAGAACAATTTAGGCCAGTGTTGCCCAACCCTTTTTCCTGTTGAACTACCACTCTGTTGGCGCTTCTTTAATGTTGTACATATTTTAGTTTTTCATGTATTTCAGGGGTTGGACCAGCTGACGACAATGACAAAGCTGGCCTCGCTGTTTGATGAGTGGGGGCAGCTCTACCCCTGCCTTAGCCAGCAATCGCACTGACTATACCAGTGTCTTCCGTTAATTGTGAGAGGGCCTTCTCTGCAATGAAACGAGTAAGAACATTTAAATGTGAAAGTAGATCCTCTTTGTCCTTCTCCCTTCTCTTATTATTCTTTCTGTTATTGCAGGTAAAAACAGACTTGAGGAACAGACTGCAGGGAGAGCATCTAGCCGCCTGCATGCAGCTCTCCATCAACGGCCCCCCCATCAAGGAGCTCAATTACAGGAGGATGTTGGAAATCTTTTTCCAAAAGCCCAGAAGAATAAAGTGTTCTGACAAAGGCTGTAAACTATTTCAGAACTAGGTTTTTGTCAGAACCTGGAAAGAGATTTCCAACGGCCTCCTTTTGTGATAAACATGAATTAGTGGGCTCTAATTAATGTTCAGTCAAATGTTCCTCTGTTCATTTTGTCAAGATAGACCTCCTTTCTGAAAAAAATTTTTTTTATGTTGTGTTTCTTTAGATAGCTGCAGCACTCAACCTTAAATTGCATCCTGTATACTATAATAATTTTACCAATATGTTATTGAGCTCATTTCTGGGGGTGGAAATTATATTCTAGATGGTTTATTTGAGTCCTTTTAAAAAGTCACCAGAACCAAGCTTTTCAGTACTTATTCATATTTTGTATTAAACCCCCCCACCCCCGCTAACTTTTCCCCCACAGCTAACACATTTTCCAGAGGAAACACTGCTTTTACTCAAGTAATATTTTACTGGGTGACTTTCCCTTTTACTTGAGTCATTTTCTATTGATGTATCTTTACTTACTTACTTTTCCACCACTGCCCACGGTATCAACACCCTCACCTGTCCCACAGTATCAAATGTCACAGCGAACATGAGCCTAGATTTTTTTGCACTAGAAAAAAACATGGCAGTTCAGCATGTCAATCTGAGGAACTTGTCACCTCTCGTAAAATGTCCTTAACCATCGTTTCCAACTTGTATTAAAATAACCCATGATTTATTTCTACCACCACAGTAGACAGACATAACATCAGCGTAAATAGTTGGCAATAAAACTAGCCTAGCATGCTAACCCCGGTCAGGCAGGGGACGGTTCACCCAGAGAGATGAGTCCTGTACAGTACTGGCTGCTTCTCCTCTTTCATTCCCCCCTAAACTTAGTAGGACCGTAGGCTTCCAGGAATCCCTGTCGCCCAGATATCAGTCTGCCTGCCTGCCTGCAGGGCCACTGGGCGGGGGTCCAAGCCTGGAGTCGACGTTAATACTCTATCTCCCCTGGCTAGACTGGAGTTATAGGCACAGTAAAGTGCTCCAGAAGATGGAAACATTATGACCCATATTTCAAATAGAAACCACAGTGAAACCGGGCTAGGATGTTTATTTCGAATGCAATATAGGTAATATTCTCCGAAGCAGGAATTATATGGCCAGTTGCATAGTAAAGTGGTCCTCAGTATGACATGATTAAGACCCATTTGTTGAATGGGTAAACAGTTGGCCTTGTTTCAAAAACAATTTAACCTATGTCTATCAGGCAATACAGTGCATTCGGAAACTATTCAGCCCCCTTGACTTTTTCCACATTTTGTTATGTTACAGCCTTATTCTAAAAATAGTTTAATAGTTTTTTCTCCCTCAATCTACACACAAAACCCCATAATGACAAAGTAAAAACTTTTTGCAAATGTATAGAAAATAAACAACATAATACATTTACATAAGTATTCAGACCCTTTACTCAGTACTTTGTTGAAGCATCTTTGGCAATTACAGCCTTGAGTCTTCTTGGGTATGACGCTACAAGCTTGGCACACCTGTATTTGGGGAGTTTCTCCCATTCTTCTCTGCAGATCCTCTCAAGCTCTGTCAGTTTGGATGGGGAGCGTCGCTCCACAGCTATTTTCAGGTCTCTCCAGAGATGTTAGATCAGGTTCAAGTCCGGGCTCTGGCTGGGCCACTCAAGGACATTCATAGACTTGTCCCAATGCCACTCCTGCGTTGTCTTGGGTGTGTGTTTAGGGTCGTTGTCCTGTTGGAAGGTGAACCTTCACCCCAGTCTGAGGTCCTGAGCGCTCGGGAGCAGGTTTTCATCAGGGATCTTTCTGTACTTTGCTCAGTTCATCTTTCCCTTGATGCTGACTAGTCTCCCAGTCCCTGCTGCTGAAAAACATCCCCACAACATGATGCTGCCACCACCATGCTTCACAGTAGGGATGGTGCCAGGTTTCCTCCATACGTGAAGCTTGGCATTCAGGCCAAAGAGTTCAATCTTGGTTTCATCAGACCAGAGAACCTTGTTTCTCATGGTCTGAGAGTCTTTAGGTGCCTTTTGGCAAACTCCAAGCGGCCTTTCATGTGCCTTTTACTGAGGAGTGGCTTCCGTCTGGCCACTCTACCATAAAGGCCTGATTGGTGGAGTGCTGCAGAGATGGTTGTCCTTCTGGAAGGTTTTCCCATCTCCACAGGGGAACTCTGGAGCTCTGTCAGAGTGACCATTGGGTTCTTGGTCACCTCCCTGACTAAGGCCCTTCTCCCCCGATTGCTCAGTTAGGCCGGGTGGCCAGCTCTAGGAAGAGTCTTGGTGGTTCCAAACTTCTTCCATTTAAGAATGATGGAGGCCACTGTGTTCTTGGGGACCTTCAATGCTGCAGACATTTTTTGGTACCCTTCCCCAGATCTGTGCCTTTACACAATCCTGTCTCGGAGCTCTATGAACAATTCCTTCGACCTCATGGCTTGGTTTTTGCTCTGACATGCACTGTCAACTGTGGGACCTTATATAGACAGGTGTGTGCCTTTCCAAATCATATCCAATCAATTGAATTTACCACATGTGGACTCCCAAGTTGTAGAAACCTCTCAAGGCTGATCAATGGAAACAGGATTCATCTGGCTCAATTTCGAGTCTCAAGGCAAAGGGTCTGAATACTCATGTAATTAAGGTATTTCTGTTTTAGATTTTTTATAAATTTGCAAACATGTCTAAAAACCTGTTTTTGCTTTGTCATTATGGGGTATTGTGTATAGATTGATTAATATTTTTATTTATTTAATCCATTTTAGAATAAGGCTGTAAAGTAACAAAATGTAGAAAAGGTCAAGGGGCCTGAATACTTTCCGAATGCACTGTACATTTCAGGAAATGAAAGCCCATTCTATCAGAAAGAGTCTACATGCTATTCCAAGTCTGTTTGAGTTGGGGCCGTTCCAAACTAGCTTTGAGAAAATAAAGCCGGTCCATTTCTCTTTCTGCAGCAGAGACCCAGACTCTTAGTTACTCACAGACAGATACAGTAGTTGACTACAAAATGCAGTGAGGCCACCCTATCTTGGTTGAGTCAGTGTGTTGAGTCAGTCGAATGAAAATAAAACAAGCTCCTTCCTTCCCTGTTCCTGCAGCACAGTCCCAGACCCTATTAGTTATCAGGCAGGCGATGAGTAACTAGACAGTGTAGAAAGCATGACAAACAGGGCCTTAATCCCAGGTTCTCTGCTTTGTTTAGGTGTGAAAATACCAAGGGAAGACCCATGTGTCCAAAATGGCACCCTACATGCCCATATAGTGCCCTATACTTTAGGCCTCTGGCTAAATGTAGTGCACTGTATAGGGTGCCATTTCAGATTTGGCCCCCAGACCCTCCTGAGTAGTATGAGATCTCTTTCTGGACAGGCCGTCCAGGCCAGCTAGGCTATTTATACTCTGTTTACTGTATCTGTGTCCACACGTGACAGACACATACGCTAGCACACACATACACCGGCCCCTCGTCCACCAGGGCCCAGAGATGTAAGGAGATATCACACATACGCCGGCCCCTCGTCCACCAGGGCCCAGAGATGTAAGGAGATATCACACATACGCCGGCCCCTCGTCCACCAGGGCCCAGAGATGTAAGGAGATATCACACATACGCCGGCCCCTCGTCCACCAGGGCCCAGAGATGTAAGGAGATATCACACATACGCCGGCCCCTCGTCCACCAGGGCCCAGAGATGTAAGGAGATATCACACATACGCCGGCCCCTCGTCCACCAGGGCCCAGAGATGTAAGGAGATATCACACATACGCCGGCCCCTCGTCCACCAGGGCCCAGAGATGTAAGGAGATATCACACATACGCCGGCCCCTCGTCCACCAGGGCCCAGAGATGTAAGGAGATATCACACATACGCCGGCCCCTCGTCCACCAGGGCCCAGAGATGTAAGGAGATATCACACATACGCCGGCCCCTCGTCCACCAGGGCCCAGAGATGTAAGGAGATATCACACATACGCCGGCCCCTCGTCCACCAGGGCCCAGAGATGTAAGGAGATATCACACATACGCCGGCCCCTCGTCCACCAGGGCCCAGAGATGTAAGGAGATATCACACATACGCCGGCCCCTCGTCCACCAGGGCCCAGAGATGTAAGGAGATATCACACATACGCCGGCCCCTCGTCCACCAGGGCCCAGAGATGTAAGGAGATATCACACATACGCCGGCCCCTCGTCCACCAGGGCCCAGAGATGTAAGGAGATATCACACATACGCCGGCCCCTCGTCCACCAGGGCCCAGAGATGTAAGGAGATATCACACATACGCCGGCCCCTCGTCCACCAGGGCCCAGAGATGTAAGGAGATATCACACATACGCCGGCCCCTCGTCCACCAGGGCCCAGAGATGTAAGGAGATATCACACATACGCCGGCCCCTCGTCCACCAGGGCCCAGAGATGTAAGGAGATATCACACATACGCCGGCCCCTCGTCCACCAGGGCCCAGAGATGTAAGGAGATAT